TCTACCCCTTCCTTGGGCAGCCTGTTCCAGTGCTCAACAACCCTTTATGTGAAGAATCTTTTCCTATTATCCAGTCTAAACATCCCTTGGTGCAACTTGAGGCCATTTCCTCTCATCCCAGACATTGTTACCTGAGAAAAGAAACCAACACATACCCTGCTCACAACACCCACCTTTCAAGTTATATAGAGTGATAAGGTCTCCCCTGAGACTCCTTTTTGTCAGACTAAATAACCCCAGCTCCCTCAGCTGCACCCGTAACACTTGTGCTCCAGACCCTCCATGACCTCCACTGCCCTTTTCTGGACACACATGTCAATCTAAGAATAACAATGAAATGTGCAAAATAACTACTTTCTCCCTGAGCAAGTTGTTCTTGGTTTTCTAGTGCAGACTCCAAAGTGGCTATAAAATATCTGTTTCTGATTTAGGGGAAAAGCTGCCAGATCAGGAAACAGTTTGATGGGATGCTTCTGTCAGCAGTGCTGGGTGACAGCAAACACGGGCAGACCCAGCTGCACAGAGCTCAGTGGGATTCTCTGTGAATTTCATCTGGCCTTCCTACACATTGAGACACATTTCAAGAGGAAAAAAAAAAAAAAAAAAAAAAAAAAAAAGGAAGAATAAAAATATCAGGAATTAAAATATATACAACTGTTTATATATTTTGACAGGTTTTCTGTGTAAGTTCAGTATGTTTTTTCAACAGCTTTATGAAACATGATTGCTTAAAGCCACTTGGCCACAACTCTTTCCCTGAAGAGAAAGATTTCTGAAATGCTTCTCAGGGTCACAGTGGAAATAATTTTTCAGCAGAGGATTGTGAGGATTTCCATGTCACAGCAGCCATAGAAGGAGCATCATCCTGCAACCTCTTGTTCATACAAATACTAGATTATTTCCAGAGGGTCCCTTCCAACTAAACTATTCCTAGCTGTCTGTCCCCTTCCCATTGCTCTGTTTTGCTGCTTCTGGAAGGTGTCACTTATTCTCTGTGCCTGGTAAAGTTCATGGGACCTGAACCATTCAGTGCTGCCCTTTCCCAGACTGAGTTCAAAAACCCTACAGCTAAGCAAGTCTTGGAGATGAAATGGTGTTGAAAACATCAGTTCTTTCAAGAGCTCTCAAACCACCATAGCAGTGACCCATCTCAACTGGGCTGCCCAGAAATGCCCACAGAGAGCAGCTAAGGTGCCTGACACCTCAGTGAGGAAGGACAAAGCAAAGCAAAAAAGTCCAAACACCAAAACTGAGTTTCAAAGGAAAGTAAGCTGGCCCAGCTTTATGCTTATGAAGCATTAACTAACCAGTGCCAGCCTTGTTTATACAAATTCCTCTCCTTAAGGAAAGTTAAATATGCTCTCTAGCTTCTACAGAGAGATCAGCAAAGATTTATTCTTTCTTTTAAGCATATAGTAGAATGGCCTTAGTATGTATATAATCAGTAACCCATAAAACCTTAAAGGGATTTTTTGTCCTAGAGACTCATTTCTGTCCTTAATGATTTAGTAGTAAAACTACAGTCAGGCTTGGGACACATGGGATTATGAAAAAAGATTTAAAATATTTCTTAAAATGCCTAAAAACACAGACTCTTAAAGCATTTTGAGAAAGGAATTCTGGAATCTTTTGAAGTGACTCTCAATTAAGCTTTTAAATTAATTAGGATGTTATTTCTGTGTAACAGCTAGACCATAAATTTAGTTTCTAATTAAAAACTGTGTGAAAACTTCACGTCACACATCACTGCTTGCAAATTTATTAACTGTTGGATTTGACTGAAGTTACTTAGAGAAATGCTCTTTTCTTCTCTCAGGGGCACAGCAACTGCCCTCTGGGAAAACAAAGGAAAGCTTCCATTGTGCTGTTCTATGGGAAAACAGCAGTTTCATTATTACAATAACCCAACTCACAGACTTCTTTTGCAGTTCTGGTCAAGATGTCACTCGAATTTCTCTGTCATAATCCCCCAAAGCCTGTCTCTCTTTGGAGGAAGCCACCAGTGCCTGGTGCCACATTATTCCACAAAGGGTTAATGAAATTCATTTTTTACTGGACCATTTTCAGTCATATCATACTTTAAGAAAAATATGAGCAGCTTTCACTATTTTGTCAAAGAAAAGCTAAGGAGCAGATAATGGCAAGTCCTATTGGCAGCATTATGGGACAATGTATTTCTAATAATTACACATTATTACAGGTATTACTATTTCTCTGAACATTAGGCCTGATAGCTCTTTTGTCTCTGTCCTTTCTTACCCTTTATTCCTCCATCTCTCTACTCATCTCCTCAATTTCTTCACCTAATTTAAATTAAAATACCATATTTCTGGCTGTAAAAATAACCCTACCCTTTTAATTTTGTTCTCTCTTCTCTGATTCCAAATGACATCAGTTCAAAGCAAAAAGCTGAACACTTGAACCCTTTTTTCCAAGGTAACTCTTAAGTATTCCCAGAATTTAGTGATGAGCAGTTACCTGTATAAGGTTAATAGTTCACTATGACAAAAAGAACATAAATTCCTTCCTTTCCTTCATAATTTGGTGACAGTAGTCACCAGAGAATCACCTGAGGCTGTTTTTTGAGCTGCTTAGTTAAAGAAATGTGTGTCTCTCCATGAACCAAGCTGCTGTGGTTCTTTCCCCTGGGCCATCATTTTAAAACCTTGTGTCTGGCCAGCGAGGTGAGTGCAGTGTGAGCAGGAGCATGGCACGGGGCGAGGGACATGGTACAGCACAATCCCTGCCCCTGCCTCTTGCAGCTCCCTATTCAGAAGTAAATTACCACCTTAAGATGGCATTGCAGAATTACTTGACCTGACACAGCAGCCTGCAGCCTTCTCCAGAGGTAACTTGGTGATATATTGCTAAGAAGCTCATGGAAACATCAGTAGCACACATTATTTCCCCTGTGCTGAGCAGTGCACTATGAACTCTACCCTGAATTTCTGTCTGAGGCACTCTTGCTATCACAAGCCTGCAGGGTCACCAAAGACCCAGCCACAGGTTTATTATGCTGCTGAACATTACACTGTCCACTTGATCTGCCTTGACCTTGATTCAGAGGGGCTTTGCATAACATTTCACAGTTTTTGACCTAAATCTTCTCATGAGTCTGTGGTTTAGGATTCCCCACATTAACCATATATAAAGAGTTTCAAGTCATTGTCCTTCATCCTTGAAGCCAAGGAGTAAAACTGCTCTTGTTTTTTGTCCTAAAAGCAATAGAGTACAGATGGTTGTTAATATTTAACTGTACCCTAATCTTTTTATTCATGAAGACTATTTACCTGTACTCCATGAGGGTGAGAGATGCCTGAAACAATCAGGAATTGGAAACTGTCCTGTACTTTTCTTTTTAAACAACTGAGCTGGAAACAGAAGTGTTCTCAGTCCCTACCATGCAATATAGCCTAATGCTGGAAGTGTGTGGTAGACACTGGTCTGAATAATCAAGCACCCAGAAGCAGACCTTTGGTTTAGAGATGCTGTAGGCAAATATTGTCTAAAAAAACCCCTCAACTGGAGCCTGTGCTTAGAGTGTGATGTAGAGCCCCCCAAAAAGCCTACATAGGTGTTGTGCCTGTGGCAATTACTGCAGTATAAATCCTACCACTCTTAATCAACATTATTTTTCCTACCTCACAGGCTTCACTATTTTCCTCCTTTATTTTATTTAAATTTAATTTTTATATGAACATAAGACAAAATTTCAAAACTACTGACTGATTCTAAGTGCTTGATTTACCATCTCTCCAAGGTCCTTATTTTCCTAGTAGGCGAGGCCAAAATTTTGAGTTCAGACCACATTAAAATGTCAGAAGGCAGACAAAATACAGGCTCTCAAAATTCAAATGACAAATGGAATCACTAGCAGATTCACAAGTGAGATGAAGAAATTTTATTACCAGAAAATATCATTACCAGGTTCCATTAAAAGAAATGTTCAAATTAAGTCTTTTCTAAATATGTGTCTAAAAAGCTTTGAGAGCAACAGAAATGGGAAGGTGAAATTTGCTGTCTGCTTTCATTTATGTTTAACAAAAGGTCTAGCAAACAGAGAAATTAGGCTCTTGCAAAGTCTGTGAAAAGAGCTAGCTGCACAGACCATTCTGGGGAGTCTGCAGTGGGAGATGCTACATTACTAGACACTGGAGAATGCACTTAAAAGAGAGATTTGTCCAGATGCCATTACTGGGTTTTTGTTGGTGGTGGTGGTCATGGTTTGTGTTGTCTGTTTTTGTTGTTTTGTTTTGTCTGTTTTTGTTTTTTAATACATCAGCCGTAAGACTCCAACTCTGAAGCCAGTTCTATTTAGCATTATGCTTTCAGAACAAGCTTTCCAGCTTTACAATAGTTCATTATTCCAGAATTTTCCCCCTAGATATCTTCTGAGAAGTCCTTTTTCTGGCCAGCATTTTAGAGGATGCTATATTACTTTTCAGGGTAATGCAGTGACTTTGTTGCCACCCCGTGAAAGTCACAGAAAGGCAGGTTCCAGCTGTACAAAATCCACTACATAAATGAAATGCCTGCTCAGATGTCTCTCTTGCCATTTCTAAAAGGACTCAACTTCCATTAGAAATAGTGCAAGTACATGAATCTGCTTATTGACTACACTCCTGCTGACTTTTTGCTTGAGGCCAAGTCTTTCCTATCATGATATTTACCCCATGCTTGGGTACACAATTCTCACTAAGCACAGGGTGGTCTCCTCCATCTTTATAGTGGAAATCCCTCTCCTCTCTTTCACAAGCTTTCACCAATCCATCTTCTGGTGTTTCCAAGTGGAGGAAGAAAAAACCCTCTCTTTCCCTTATCCTTTGTGTGAGTCATACATCAGAATCAGGAAAAAGGATTATTCTAAAGAATTAGCTCAGTGATGTCAAAATAATTGAAATATTTTCATGTTCTGTTTGAAAGACTTTTCAGCTGAAAGATTTATGTTCTTTTTTCTACAGAAGACATTAAAAATACTCAGAATTGTGCTAAATATACAGAATTAAAATGATGATTTGAAATATCCTGTGGTATTTCAATATGCAGTGGCAAAAAGTGGAAAAGGTGTGTTGATGTGGAAAATTCTTAATTAACATTTGAGTAAGTATCTTCTGTCTACTTTCTTCTCAGATCACTGTGCAAGACTTTAATATCCTCATGTATCCTCTGCACTATAAATCCTCAGTTCTACATCAAGGAGTGTCATGTATGATCAACAGTTTCTTATTATAAATTGTGATGGGTACTATTGAGCTACTTACCAACAGGATACTTGCCTCAGACTTGGAATGAATATTAATAAAACTGTTAGTCCTCTGTCAATAAAGTAAGTACCTTCTCAGTTTCAGTAACTGAGCACAGTAATTGCCATCAGTATCCCTAAATGTCAAATTCACTACTTCACCTCCAGAGCAGTCAACCTAAAAAGCGATTTAACATAGTATTTAAACATCAAAATTATTTCATTTCATTTTGAGGGAACTTGGAAGCACCTTCTCTGTTTCTCAGGTGGTGAAAAGAGATACCAAACACCACTGAAAATCTGTGTTTTCCTCTTTGGCTTGCTATGCTAGCAAGGCTCCAACTCATTTCTGATCTGTGAAGACAACAGTAGATGAAGAACAAAACTGAAGGATATTTCTGCAGCGCTGAGAGGTATCCACCACATAATTCTGTTGATGTTGGTTTTTTTCTTTTTTTTTTTTTTCCCCTGTGTAAAATAAAGGAACCCATGACTGGTGATCAGGATTGCCACCTGTTGCTGGTGTCCATTAAAAAGCCTTTCACTAGCTCTCCCAGTTTTGCAGCCCATCCTAAATTTTCCAGAAGAGACAATTACACGTTCCAGAGGTGCAACCATGAACACCCTGGGGCTGTTGGGGCAGACTGGCAAAGATGAGATAGAGATGTGGGAGGCTGAACTGCATCTGTCAGAGAGGCATGAGACAAATCATACCACTCCTGTCTCTTTTCAGTTGGATACTCCACAGGAATCAGAGACAATTGAGTTAGAATCCGGGAGAGTGGTTGAAGTGGAACAAGAAAAATAGCCTCAGAAATGATGGTAGGAAAGGTACCCAAAGAATCACAGGAAATCTTCCTGCTCTTTCTAGACAGTCAAATTTTGAATCTAATTCTCACATAAACTAATCAAAAATATTTAGTTTACAAGACCTCAGACTATGCTGTAAAAACACACACAGAGTGAGCAGAAAAATTTCCTGTGTTCATAGATGAGGAGGCTAATTTAGGGATCTAATTAATGACCAATTAATGTGTGTGCTGTGCTCAGAGAAGCTATGCTCTTTTCAAAACCTCAGCTATTGCCTCGCTGGTCGGTGAGAAGCTCAACATGAGCCAGCAATGCACCTTCACAGCTCAGAAACACAACCATATCCTGAGCTACATCAAAGGAAATGTTGCCAGCAGGTCGAGGGAGGTGATTCTGCCCCTCTACTCCATTCTTGTGAGAGCCCACCTGTAGTTCTGCACCCAGCTGTGGCATCCCCAGCACAGGAAAGGGGTTGGAACTGTTGGAGTCAGTCCAGAGAAGGGCCATGTAGGTGATCAGAGAGTTGGAGCACCTCTCCTATGAGGACAAGCTGAAAGAACTAGGGTTGTTCATCTTGAAGAAGAGATGGATCTAGGAAGTCCTTAGGACATTTTCCAGTGCCTAAAAGAGCCTACAAAAGAGCTGGAGAGGGACTTTTGATAAGAGCATGTAGTGATAAAACAAAGGCAAATGTCTTTAAACTGAAATAGGCTAGATCTGGATTAGATATTTGGAAGAAATTCTTCAATGTGAGGGTGGTGAGGCACTGGAACAGGTTGCCCAGAGGAGCTGTGAATGCCCCACCCCAGGAAGTGTTCAAGCCCAGGTTGGATAGGGCTTTGAGCAACCTGGTCTAGTGGAAAGTTCCCCTGCCCATGGCAGGAGGCTTCTACTAGGTTGTCTTTAAAGGTCCATTCCAACCATTCTTTGATCCTATGATACAGCATCAAGAATAATTTAAATTTAATTAATAAAGCATATATATAATTTAAATTTAATTTAATATTTGGCCTGAAAAAGAGTGAAGAAGGGGCCACTGAGAATGGCTCATGAGCTGCCAGTGACAACTAAATTGTCAGATCAAAAAAACTGCTTGGGGTAGGAGCAGTGTTCTTGCATCCATATTTTCAGGTCTCTTTTCATCCCAGGAAATGGTTCAGAAAATGCCAAGACTGTGAGGGCAGCCAAGGCAAAAGAGCAGGAACTCGGTTAGAGCTGTATCAGCCAAGTGGGCCCACCAAACGAGACGCTGCTCCCTGGGAATATTCTTCCTGCACCCCCATGTGGAGCTTGCTCTGCAGCAGCAGCCTTTCACCATCCTTGTAACTGGTGTGCTAATTGTGCCATTTTGAACAGCTCTAAAATAAATCAGACTGTAGCCACATTGAAAAAAAAATATACAATATGGCTGTGTCTGAAACCTCACTACAGTCTAATTTCTTCAAATGTTGCTGTCATATCTATATCACAAGAAACTGTTCTGCAGCAGCAGGGATTGATTCCACTTCTTCTCTTTTCTCAGGGAATAACCTTTGAAAAACTTTCAAAATGATGGTAATTCACAAAGGCCAGACAAAACAATTTTTTAATAAAAACATTTGCCCCAAAAAGGAACAGGCTGTTTAAAGAGCTTAGACCTCCAAATCGTCACCCTGTGTGCTCTCTGTAATTTAATACTGGGGATCTTGGCTGACTTCATTAAGAGGATGACAGTGAAATTGAGATAAATTATCCTGTGGTGAGGGAGGGACTGATACAGAGAAAATTACAACCAGCAGGAAAAATAGGTTATACAATCACACAGGTAACTTACTTCCACTTTAGTGTTAGAATGAATTTCATTAACAAAATATGTATTTTGCATTGGAGACCATGCCATTGTGAAATCAAGCACATGATTCACACAAATGCACCCACAAGATGCTGGACCATTCTTATGTTTAGTTCTTCATTATTTTCATCCTACTCATTGAGTGGGAGCTTTTAAATTTTTTGTAGTAACTTTTGAAAACATGTTGAAAACATGACTATTTAGATTTTTACGTCTTTACTAATATCTCAAAAATATCTTTACTAACTCTGTAGCTCAAATAATCTCAGAGTTTTTAATTCTACAATTGGCTTGTGTTAAGTTTGAAAGAAATTCCACTAAGGAAATACTGCCTTTCTCTACTATTTCCTAATACTCATGCTAGGCAAATACTTTTGAAGACTTCCCACATAGTTCGGTTCTTGGTGGCAAGAAAAACCAAATATTAAGAGGTTTAACCCATCTCATAGAGCTTTAGTTCTATCTTGTAGCTGCTGTCTGTTTGAGGCTTTGTTTCCCCTGCAGGGAATATCAGTGATTTGTATACTTTTCCTCCAGAAAACTGAGTCAGTTTTTTATTAAATTCATTCAGCATAAACCATGCATTTTAATAACAGTTTTTCCATATTTCAATGAAAATTGCACTGAATAACATTCAATTCTTCCTCCCTAAAAATAATTTAGAATTAAGTAATTAAAAATTTTATTTCAGGCCTTGTAATAAGAGCTTCTGAACTCCAGCCCTCCATTGTACTTCATTTGTTTATGTCCATTCCTTTCCAAAGGCAGATTCTTGATGCTGAGGGAAAGGCTGCCCTGGCTCTGATGTTCTTATATCTCATTTTTGGGCTGTTGGTGGTGCGCATCTACAGGACTGTTTCCATTCCATTTTTTGAAGGTGACCTGGGAGGGATAGGTGTGGATTGTTTTTGGCTGAACCCAGCCTTTCTGCTCTCATCATCTCCCCTCTGCACTTCCCATGTGTTACTTGTCCCCTCTGGAGTCTCACTGGGAGTACAACTTTTGACAGTGGATAAACACTAAACATCACAAGACAGAGCCCCATCAGTCATTTCCCAGTGCATGATGCAATGCTGCATTTCAGATGGCAGCTGCCTGACACCCCGCACTTTTGGACTACAAACACAGCTTTGGAAAATGAATCAGTTTAGTCAGTACAGCTAAGGAGGACACACAACAAAACAAGTTCTACTCCTTATTCAGTCCTACTTATGGACTCTGTCATTGTGAATTTACTAATTTCCTGAAACAAAGTTTATATTGCAGCATAAAATACTGTAATGTAAGACTGAATGATGCCCAAGAGCCTTTTCTGGACTAGGAAATCTCTTTTTAATAGTTTTATCCCATTTGCATTGAGTTAGAATACATTTCCTTTAGTACAGGACACAGGAAAATATTCTTTTTATAATTGATTGATTTAAAAGGGTTCTGCTCTATATCAGAGCAGGATAAAAGGGGAATAATACAGACCTGTTGTGGCAGACAACCTGAATTTGAAATAAGAACACTAAACATTAACAACTGCAGAAGCTGACCTGTCACATCATCTACATAAAAAAGACTTGAACAGTTATTTTTAATCAAAATTGCAGAGTGGAGAATCACTGGCTATGTCCGACTGATTCCTTGCAGATGGGTGCTTATGTTAAAACTGGAGCAGTCACAGGGGTTACACAAACTCTTATCTGCTATCACCAGCCATGACAGATCTCCTGGCTCTCTCTCATGGGCATCCCCCTGGGCCACGAGCTGGCCTTTGCTTTCCTTGGACAGGAGGTGGCTGGTCCTCCCCTGGCTCATGCCTGGGGGGAGAGTCTGTGGTGAGCCAGTTGCCCAGGATAGCATCTGTGTCCAGATGGCTTTTTGGTATCTCCTGGGATGGTGACTTCACAATCTCTCTGGGCAACCTGTGCCAGTGCCTGGTCACCTTCACAATGAAATGTGCACAACAACATTAAATAATCACAGAATAAATAATAAAAAAAGACTGAAAAATTGCTGGAAAGGTTTCTGAACCATTCTGAGGATGGGAGCAGCTGTATCTAGGGTGGCACTGCCACAAGGGCTCCCTGAAATTTCCACACAGAGCTGCCAGTCATGCAAAAATGCATGAGACATCTCTGTGTGTTCTGTGATATGGCATGGCACAACACAGCAGAGTGCAGTGCTGCCTGCATGGCTGAGGAAGATGCAGGGCTCTGTGATGGAAATGACAAGGGAAAGGTAGTGCTTTTGAGGTTAAAACAAAGTTAAAAGGGAGAACTAAATTGAAAACCTTTGCCAAAAAGCCCTCTGAGATAGTGACCTTGTTTGGACTGCTTGACTGCAAACACAGATGAAAAAGCCTTTTTTTCTAGCAGCCACAAAAAACAGAGCTATGTAGGCTGTTAAAAAACCCAACTTGTTATATTGCTGACATCTCTTTATAGAAAGGAATTCAAGACTTCGTTAGCAAAAGTGTATTCCTCTGATGCCACAATTCACAGAAAAATAAAATATTCCTAAGAGTTATTAAAATATTTATAAGAGTTGAGAATATTTACAAATTTAGAGAATGACTACAGTAATTTAGCTATGGCAAATCAAGCATCAGTGACTAATAAGGAAAGAATTTTCATGGGAAAATATGGTGTCATCATTTGAATTTTCAATCATTTCCCAACTGTTTCAGACCACAAGTGGAGTTTTGCTTAAATGTTCAGAAATCCTGAGGCATAGCTTTACTGTCTGGTTAGTTTAGCATTTTCAGCTAAAGGATTTTAACAAGTTTTCTGTGTTCCTGGGACTTTTGCCTGTGTGTCAGGTAAAAAATGTTTAGCTGCAATTTGTATTTTATATATTAAAAGGATTGAGAGTAGTCTTCAGTGAATAAATGGATAGATAAATAAATAAATAATACTACTATTTTTTTTACAATGTGAGAAGTTACTCTGGATGTTAAGACCAGTCAGAGCCTGTATTTGCTGCAGGTCATTATGCAATGCAATCTTTGAGGAGTAAGCTTCAACAAAGACTAAGTAACAAGTTCTTTGGTTGTAGATACATCTTCTGGCTAAAAATCATAATTGCAATGAAGAAGTAAGAGAAGGAAGTGTAATTCATTTGTGTATCTTAGTACTAAGGAACAAATTTGATTCCAGCAACTGTTTCTGATTTGTGTGTGTATCTTAAAAAGTTTTAGGCATTCTTGAAACCTGATAAAAGCAGGAAATACCATGTTTATATGAAGAATATTTTGTGCAGTGAATGATTTCCCATATTTTAGTAACAGATTGTTCTCTCCTTTTTAATGTGTGAATTTACTCTCCTTTTATCTCCTTTAAAATGTGTAAATTTTGATTTTTCCTTTCCTTTGTTAAAGTACCTATGAGAGAATGCTTCCCTGTTGTAAATATTTACTCAAATAGCAAATATTGCTGTTTAGGTATCAAATAAAGAGTGCTCCTGTAATTTATGTAAAGAATTAAAAACCTTCAAGAAAACTCCCCAATCTCCAAATGCCCAGGTGTACAAAGATGTCTTAAAATGAAATAAGGCCTGTTACAAATAAGCCAGACTAATCAAGTTATATGTACAGTGCATAGCTCAGACATGCTCAGGAGAACTGCTTTTTCCTTAAAGCATCCCTCAAAATCAGACCTTCCCCACTGCTTTTCCCTGGATGCTCCATCCAGCAGGAAGGGGTGTCATGTCCCAAGACCGTTCTGTCAGGTTTCGTTGCATGGGCCAACAGATATGAAGGATTTCAGGAGGCACAAGTCCTGACAGCTAATGTGAGCGTGTAAACCTCACTTTCTCAGGAAGTCAGGCAAAGAAAACTTCACCACTGACCCCAGATGATCACATAGATGGGTAACTTGGGTTCAGCTGAGCTCATTGTGCGTTGCTGCATAAGGTTTGTTGCCAAGATATGGACTGCAATTTGTACAATGTGAAAGCAGCAGTCGCAGCTTTGAAGCCAGTGTTGGAAGTGTAATTGGGTAAAATCCAGGCTTCTTTCAAGATGGTGAGAATCCTGCCAGGATTTTTAAGAGCCTGGGTTCATTAACTGTAACTGAATTCAGAAATAAAGGCAGACTAATATTTTCTCAGCTCTTAGGAAAAATATTCTATAGCTCATTCAAAGTATTGATTTATTTACATGACTCTTCTAAAGCAATAACAATAATTTTAGAAACAGGTAGACTGCAGACTTCAAAATGGGAATGAGCTAGAGCCAGTGCCCCTCCAGGTGCTGTTCTTACAGGAACATCATGTACCTTTAATGCAATTAAAACATACGCACGTACAATTTCTAAACCCCAGCTGGAGCCTTTGGCTTTTCTTCTTGATTTGCCCTGAGTGATGCATAATGGCTAACTTGGCAGGCTGCCTTTTTTGCAGAGAGACAGGTAGAGCTAGCATGAGAAAAGAGATGACTTATAAAATCCCTTACCCCATTTGTTAGAGAAAAAAATACTCCCTATCACTGATTTATCTCTAGGAGGTTCAGTTGAGAATATGTTGAACCAAGAAGCTGTTCATATGAGATTTTAGGACTACTATGGATGATAGAGAGTAAGACCTTAAGAAGTTCATTTATAATACCAGGAAAGTTGCCTGTCAAAAGTAGAGCCTACTGAATATTTATCAGCTACTTCTGCTCTGACATGTTCCAGAAAACACCCTTAGAAATCATTGTGTTCTGAAGTTACTAATGGCTTCTGAATCTATCCATGTACCAAATGTGAACACAAAAGTGCAGCTGCTCCCTCACCCCTTGATTTCTTTCAGTTCCAGCCAGAACAAGTTTTCTTTGTTTCCAGATAAGTTAATGGTTTCCCCTTAACCTCAACAGCAAAAGAAAGACATTTTTAAAAAAAGACAAGGACTGGCACCAACCTGTCTCACTCTCCCACAGTACAAGCAGAAAACTAGTCAGCAAACCACCAACAAGGAAGAGAAGTGTGCAAGACTATAAAAACAATTCTGACAGTCTGACCCATATGTTTAGTTGTGGGTTTCATGTCACATAATATCACAGACTTTCTGCTTTCATACATTAACCCTAACAAGAAAAAAATAATAGGGATGTGATTTGACCCATCACAGAGTGTTCACAACAAAA